TTAGTGTAGAAGGAACTTCGGGGAAAGACAGTTTGTTCATCTAACCCGGAACTCCTTTTTCTAAGGCTCAGCTCAAGTGAAGTCTCTGGGTGGATAAACAGTGGTGATAAGGGTGAGTGATGTCAAAAATTGTCGTGTCCATTTTTCGATTTAGGAAACATATTTGCAGCACTAAATTTTCGAGGAATGTTCCTCTAATTCTGGTGGTAATTCACCAAAGCCTCTAGAAGCGTGCCGGAAATTGGAATGCGTGACAATGCGATGTTTTGAAAAGAATGACCTAACGTTTTTTGTCATTCAGTCATTTCCTGGTTCCATTTTTGTATTTAATCTACACGTCTACTCATCGATAAGTTACGCCTAAAACTCGTCCTATTTGTTTTATTCACGAAATGAAGCGCTAAGAGGTGTTTCTATACTTACTGGGAGCTCTGGTGCTCAACCAACCGACAGGATTCGGGTGGATTTTCCCTATACCTAGAAGGATATTTCAGCGAATTGGAACCAGACATTTACGTTCGACTTGCAAGTTTTAAAGGGGAACTCATTAATTTTTAACCCATTTCGTGCAAAAACAGGCAAATCAAGAGCTCACAGCAGGCTTGAGCGAAGGCTAATGGAAGCTTTTGACAGCTGACAGGAGTGCTGAGTTTTTCTTTTTTTTTGGGGGGGGGGGGGTTGAAATGATACCGGTATGGGGTGGCATATTCGTCCTCTCCGGCCGACTAAAGGGGCAAAAATCTATCGGGGCAAATACACCTGCATGTACATTCGAATGCTAGAGGAAAGCTGCATAAGCGTTCCGTCACATTCCGTTGGACATGCAGGTGTATTTGGATAAATATCCCTCATTTGTTTCTGGGAAGAGGTCGATGTGGGCTCGCTTACCGCCAACGATAACTTTCACCCCGGGCAGCAGGACAAAATTTCCTCGTGGGAACAGCCAAGTGTGTTGTAGTTGCTGCTGAGTGTTGTATAATGTACAGCTGTTTTCATCGACTTATGCAGTGTCGAGAACAGGCTCGAGAGGAGATGTTTGCTCAGGCGTGTCATCCCTCTCCCGGATCCGCGCTCTCAATCTGCGCGCGCGTGATTAACACGCGGACTGGTTATACGCGCTGAACCCTGTGTTATGGTTATCTATATCATGAACTGACTAATTAGAATCATGGCAGTCAAAATCGTGCCAGGACCACCAGGAGGGTGTCGTCGTGCCGTCGATCGACTATCGATCTTTGTCGGCCAGGCGGAAAATGTGGAGCGGGCTTATCGAAACGGCGAGAATGCGCGGCGCATTGCGCATTGCAATGTTCACCAGCAGATTAATTGCATGCTGCTGCTGCTGCGGCCGCTGTGCTCAGCCTCGTAACCGATATGGCTACCTCGACTTAATCTCGTGCTCTCTGCTTGCCCACCAGCTGTCCTCAC